CGTATCTTTTAAGTAAAAAAAAAAAGCAATATCATGCATGTATTTTTCTTTTTTTAATATAGCCGGTTAGTATTATTAAAAATTAAAAATATTTAAAATTATAATAAAATTTTATAATTATTATCGTAAACTAAACCAAAAGACTCAAACAAAAAATAGTCACTTTAGATCATACAAGGACCATACATGAAAAAGGTTTAAAACTCAACCAAAAGACTCGAACAAAAAAATAGAAATGAAGAAATCAAATTGCATCGGCAAACGAAACATAAAAGAGATTAAACTATTGAAAGACCACTGAGAACCACAATTCAGAGCCGATCTTCGTGATAAACAATTCACGAATGCAAAACCGCATCTTGATCAATCGTAGCATTGTCAAATCCAATCCTGAAAAAATATAAAATAAAAGAACACCAAACGACCGATAAAAAACATCAAGATAGAATTAATTATTGAACTTTAATAATACAAAATTTTATTACATATTTAAATTCAAATTGAAGATAAGATTCAATTTATCTAATATTTAAATTTATAAGAACATACATTATCATTAGAAAAATTTAGGAGACACGAGTCCCTCCCACTCCATTTCTTATTTGTAACAATGAATTTAATATTAAGAAAATATAAAGAAATTATAATAGCAAAAACATGTTAGCTAGATATGACTATCCAGCTCAGTTGGTAGAGCACAAGATTCTTAACCTTGAGGTCGTGGGATCGAGTCTCACGGAGGGCATTTCATAATTCGGAGGTTTTCTACGGAAGCTGCTTTCAACCTGGTGTTGGGGGCAGCCTACTATCTTACCTCTCCCTTACCCCATTAGATATGAGAACAAGGGACAGTCATTTTTTTATGTTAGCTAGATCAAGTAATGAAGTATTTATTTCTCTTACATAAAATTTTTTATTCGTTGTAAATATTTATTTTTCTTTCTGAAATCTAAAACTTATCCTCTAAACAAAATTCGACTTGACTAATTTTAAAGTATTTTAATTACGTTACATTAAAAAACTTAAATAAAAAATATATAATTCTACGAGGATAGTATATTATTCGAATTAGAAATTCAAGATTCCCAAGTTTCCACACATTAATGTGACTTAAAACCACGACAAAAGCACTTGCAAACAAACAAATGAAGTGCAAAAGGTAAGAACAGAGGAGAATCCAAATGGAATATAGAGCACGTAATTAAAGAATAATTAGTGCAAGTGGAGGCTGATTTCATTTCAACAACTTGCCATACATTCAAAGGGATGCTTCATTCTTTTTTTTTTTTTGGGTTAATAATATATATATATATATAGGAAGGTAGCTATGGTGGGCAGTAGAGTGGGAGAGACAAGGCATGGAATGGGTGGCAGCACGCGCAGCAGCTAATATAATGATATACATGACGATCACGACAATAAAGATCCCAATACACTGTTGACTCGCTTAAGTGCTCTGAAAAGTACCCGCTCGGTGCATGGCCTCTAATTCAATCGCCTCACTCACCTTTCTTCCCTCCCATCTTACAATCTACATATTTCAAAGTATAACTTAGTTTTCCTTAAAATAATTTAACGTGATTATAAGATAATATTTGTTTAAAAGTTTTCTAGATTATTAACAACATATATCATACAAACATAACGGTTCGAACCTATAATTTCTAAAAAAAATAATACTTTTTTTTATCATTAAAATTATTCAATGTGTTTGAAGTATAACTTAAATTAAAGGAATCGTCTCTCCACATGTTTCACTTATTTCTTAAATATATGATATGCAGACAAATATCAAGTTATATCAATTTCATCCAGATATCTTCTAATAAAATAATGAATTTTATCAAACAAATCGTATTATAAAATTTCCGAGCCACAAAAATGGAGGACTATGGCATGAGCATGGAAGGAAAGCTGCTTAAAGCACACCCAAGAAAGGATACTCATACAAAGGAATCTGTGGAGTCCACTATGAGGCACTCATCATCTCTCTCTCTCTCGTCTGCTCAGTGCTGACAATGTTCAAGTTGATGATATACCAGCAAGTAGGGATTAAGTTAATTAATCAAATATTATGCGTAAATATAAAATTATTGCGCTGCTTGTAGCTTCTCCGGCGCTCAAACATCGAAAGCAGAGCCTAACCTTGGTGTGTTGATTAATATATATTAGTAAATGGAAAAGACATGAAGCATCAAGGAAACATTGGGTTTATTCTGAATCGATTTTGTTGGGTTGGGTCTGTAATGCATTTTGGGCCATCCAAACGTACTTTACCAACCCAAAGAGCAAAGTTGACCCCATAAATTGTATGTATGTATGTATGTGCATGCGTATGTATTGTCTAGTTTTTTTGGGTACGTATTGTGTATTTTAATACTTCATTCTAAACATTCTTTGGTATTTTTTATTTATTGATATTTTATCTATTAATTAATGAATTTAAATATATATATTATAGAGATTTATTATATAAATAATTTTCTAAGTTATTTTAATCTATTTATAATTAAAATAATTTTAAATTTGGATGTATAATTTTCTTTGAATGGTCTAAGGTGATTACAAGATAATATTTATTCAAAATCTTTCTTAATAATTGCCAAAGCATACACACCCTTCAGAGATAGTCGTTTGAACTTGACAACTATAGGGAGAACCAATGACGGATGCAAATAGGAGTGAACGTGAGCACTAAGGTTTAAGTTCCTTCAGTTATTTTTTATATTATTAATTGTTTTTCACTTTAAAATTTTATTTATATTTATCTTCAGTCAATAAAAAATAAGGATTAATATCCAAATAAGTGCTCAAACTATACTTTTTTCTTGAATAGGTGCCTACAATATTTTTTGGACCATCCAGGTGCCTAATGTTACAAACATGACCACTTTAGGTGTCTGGGACGTAACGGTCGTTAATTTTCTCTGTTAAGTGACATATGTCACAATCTGATAATTTTAAAATTTATTTTTAAAAAATATTATAAATATTATTATATTTATAAAAAGCCTCAAACTTCCTAAAATTAATATGTCGTCGTCACCCTTTCTGGCCACGACCACCGTCGCCGTCGTAGTCCCTGTAATCATCCTAGTTACAAGTCATCGTAGTTGTCGTCAATTGGTCGTTAGAGTCGTGTGGGATCGTGATTTTCATCTAAGGGTTCATGAGGTAAAAAATGTTGATTCGCCGTCGATCGATCATGATTTCATATGGGTTTTGGCTGCCGAGGGGATGTGAGGTCGGGTGGAGATTTGTCGATGGCAAAGGGCGTCGGTCATCATAGGTTTAGGGGTTAAAATGAAGGTTTTCAAAGTATTGGTGTTATTTCGAAATTTATGTGTTTTCTTTTAAAAATATATATACTTTTTTTTAAAATTTTATATACAATTTTTAAAATTATTAGATTGTGACACTTGTCATTTAACAGAGAAAATTAACGTCGTTGATGGTCCGGTACCTAAAGTGGTAACGTTTGTAACGTTAGACACTTGGATGACCCAAAAAATACCATAAGCACCTATTTAGAAAAAATGTATAATTTGAATACTTATTTAAATATTAAGCCTACAAATAATAATATTTTTTTAATAATCGAATTCATTTAATAAATTTTAAATGAATGTATAAATAATTCCTAACTTTTCAACATTGATAAATCACGTGTTGATTTTAGGTAAGAAGTAGATGTAAGTTCATAGCTCTACCTCATCCAGTTTCAAAAAATAAAGAAAAGCCATGTGAAACCGACGACCAAGCATTGCTAAAATCCTATCCAATTTATCGGGGTTTTCAAATCATTCTCAGTAATATAGGCGCCAAGTATACAAACATCCCCGATTATCGAGTATGATTTTATTGAGTTAGTTGATTATTAAAATTTATAAAATAAATTTTTTATTTATATAGTAATTTTTAAAAAAATTTAACTATGAAAAGTTATAAAATGATCATTCGATTATTTATATATTTTAAATTTATCATTTTCTATTAAAACTAACAGTCGTCTAAATTAAATGTTAACATGTTAATTGAGTTATAATAAAAATAATTTTAATAGTATCTACTGGTACCACTGTTGCTTTCAAGTACTAGCTCTGCAACATAATATTTTAAACGCTGACTCGATGACATAATGTAAACATAGAATCGACCCAAAAAATACAATTCAGATGATTATGAGATAATGTTTTATCATATCCCTCCCTATCAACAAATTAATATCTAGCTTAGACGGTTGACCACTTTTAACGAAAAATGATTAGTTTAAAATATATGAATAGTCGAATTATCATTTTATAATTTTTAATAGCTGATGACTCAACAAAATAACACTATATAATCGAAAAACTATTTTTTAACTTTTAATATTCAACATACTTAACAAAACAACACTATATAATTTTAAAAGACCATTTATGTATTATATTCTTAATATAATATATACAACAGATTATTATGTATATATTATAATTTGCACCATAAATATCATATTAAGACATTAAAATTATATTAAATTAAATTCATTAAAGTAAACATTAAAAAATAGAAAAACATTTATACTTTAGAATTAATTAGAAAATTATATATATATATATATATATATATATATATATATATATATATATATATATATATATTACAATAATTGTTAAATTCACCGCAAATTTAGAAATCAGCTGGAAAACGATCCCTTTGGGTTAGCAAGAAAAGCAAGCACACACCAGAAGATTTCGACATTACGTCAACATTATCCCAACCCTTTACGTCGCCATGCTATCAACATCTCACCCCACGTCACGCACCTTCATCAGTCCACGCGTCATGGTTTGCGGCTGAAGCTTTTCTAGAGTCACTCGGTTAAAATAAAAAAATTCTCACGAGTTTGACGGGCGGGCAGGGCAATTGATTTTTTTTGAATCGAATTACCCACGATATGTTGCATAAATAGCCCCCCAAATTTGAGCGAATCTGCAGAAAACACGAACAACCCGTTTTCATTCCCCTGTTTTGTTTGTATCATATGGAGGCGAAAAGTGTAAAGTTTGCTGCGATGGCGAAAACGATTAGGAAGAAGACGACAAGATGGAGCAGTTCTTTGCGCTGATAAGGAATTTCCAGGAGGCGCGTGATAGAAGAAAAGATGAGCTGAGACAGAGGGAGGAGGCGGCGGAGAAGAAGCAGCAAAACAAGGCACAGAGGGTAAATAATAACAATGAGCAATCGAGTTGGGTTCCCTGTTTTGAATGGGCTGATTTTACGGAGGAGATCGAGTTTCGAAGGTCGCCGGTTACCTTACCGTCACCGTACAACAGCAAAGATTATAACAAAAAACAACAGCAACAGCGAGACGACGATGGTTTAGATCTTAAGCTAGCACTTTAGGTTAGCTTTTGGCTTTTTCCTTGTTTAAAACGATGTCGGTGTTACATTAGTAGAAGTACTTTAAAAGGAATTCAAAATTTGCTTTTGGTTTCATCTTCTATACTATTTTCTAGTTGTAAAACAGTGACGCATTAACCGGCAAGCCCAAGTATAGTGTGAAGGAGTCCAACAACATTCTTGTGTTGCTAGAATCATGTTCACCTCCAATGACCTATGGTCGGTTGGCCCATTTTTTCAATTGTCAATACTATTTGAAAATTATAAAAAAAATTGTAAAGTAGACATTTGGTTTCTGTTAAATTATTTTATTATTAAAAGTTATAAAATAATTCTGAAAATAAAGTATTATTTTGTTAAATCTATCAACTTTTAAAAATTACAAAATAATTCATTCACTATTCACTATGTTATAAACTTATTCTTTTCTTTTTAAAAAATTAACGATCACCAGAGTTAGATTTTAATATCCGACTGTCATATTTTAATATCCGACTAAAATATGATAGTCGTTAAAATATAATAATATAATATTTTATTATATTTTAGTAGATAGGTCAATGTCTAATTTATACGATTGTTAAGTTTTCAACGGAAAAAGATGAATTTATAATATAATGAATAATTAATTGATATTTTGTAATTTTTAATAGTAGAAAAACTTAATAATTTAAGATCTTAAAGTTGAAGAATTATTTTATAATTTTTTAAAATAAAATTTAATAAAGTTTAACAAAATAATTCTTTATAGTCGAAGAATTATTTTATATTTTTTAATAATAAAATTTAATAAAGTAATTATCTCATAATTATGGAATCATTTATATATTTTATCCAATAAAAAATATAATATTAAAAATTCCAATAAAAAATATAATAATACAAAATCTGGAAGACAAGAAGAATCTAGCTTACATCATCTCCACGATTTTTTGTATTTTTCCTTTATAGTTTCTATTTAAAATAAAAATTTATACAATTATACTATTTTGACTTAAATAATTGGCATATATCAATCAATTATTAGTATAATATTGACTATTTATTACTATTTCTTATAGCGGTGGTGGCACGATATTTGTTGGCTCTTGGCAGTTGGCACCGCCATTTGATTCTATAGGTTTCAAATAAATTTACCAAATTATTGGCACGCTAAAGGTTGTTGTGGTGGAAGTTACAAGGGCGGGTTGGTCATTTTACAGAATTATTCAATTGGTTGAATTAATGATTCTCCTATTCATTTTAATAGGTTGAATAGGTTTGTATTTAATGAATTAATTGATATATTATAAACTCATCAACTGATTTAGGTGATAAATTTTTTGAATTAAAGTAATTATATTTATAAAAGTATACATTGTTAATAGGTTAAAAAAATTCTAAATATATATTTCATTATAATTATTCAATATTATTTAAATGAAAATAATCAATACGTTGTAAGATAAAAACACTAATTAAATCATTAAATTACAAATTGGAATAATATTTTTTTATTATTATTAAAACAAAAATATTATAACTATTAATTAAGATTTATAAAATTGATTAAATTATTAAAAATATTTTTTAAATTTATTATTATTTTATAATATGCGAGGAATATTTATAGCAATTTAATAAATTTAATAATCATTTTTAAATTTTTAAATTTTAGTTATAATAAATATTATTTTAATATAATTTAATAATTATTTATATATTTCAACCTAAATTGTACTAAAATATATCATCAATATATATATATATTTTAAAAATACCCTAACAAGTGTCGCAATATATCGATATATGCACAATTAAAAATATATCATCAATATATCTTTTTCTAAATTTATTGAATTGTTATAAAATATTTGTTAAATTTAAAATTATTAAGAATTATCTTTAAATTTATTATTATTTTATAATATGCGAGGAATATTCTATAACAATTTAATAATTTTAATAATCATTTTATAATTTTAAATTTTAATAATAAAAATAATATTTTAATATAATTGAATGATTATTTATATATCTTAACCTAAACTGTACTAAAATATATCATCAATATATATATATATATATATATATATATATATATATATATATTAAAAAATACCCTAACAAGTGTCGCAACATATGGATTCATGCACAATTAACACCTCAAGCCTATTATTCAATATTCATTTATTGTAAGTATAAATCCAATGTTTTAAATTAAAAATTTGTAATGTTTTAGTGTTAACAAGAAGAGGGTGAGACTTTGATGAAGAGGAAATACATGGAAGCAAAAACAAAGGAGATTCCACCAGTTGGCAACAACAATGATGATGTCCGTGAAGAAGAAGAAGAGGAGAAGATCAATGCTTTCTTCACTTTGGTTAGAAATATTCGAGATGCTCATTACCAGATGTTGATTGGGTCTCAAGCTACAAAGGATCAGAAACAAAAAGCAGCAGCAGAAGCAAAGGGGAAATCAACTTGGACCCCATCTTTCCAATGGGAAGATTTCGCTGAGGATCATCAATATCTTAGAAATATTACTACCACTAATGCAACAGAAATTCTCCCGGGTTTCTCCAAGAATAATGATGAACAGATGAGCAAGACAAATGAACAAGAAGACTTGGATCTCAACCTTCTCCTTTGATGTCTAGTTTTTTTTTTGTTACCTTTTCTGTCAAGTTGATCACCCAGAAGTTAAAGATATGTCTTGTTTATCTTGTTCTTGCAAATGATCTAAATACTAAATGTTATACATTTTTTTTTTGTAAGAAAAGCAAATGAAATCTGTTGTTACAAATGAGGTAACTGGGGAAATGACCAGACCATTTTAAAAACTCTTTTAAGAAGAGATCTATCAAAATATTCAACAGTATCCCTCTTAACTCGATGCCGGGTTAAGTGGACTCTTCCCCAGATTATAAGGTATCGGTTCCCCGGTCATTGGACTGAGATCCTCTGGTGTCAGTTTATTAGTCCTGAAAGGAAACAGAGTATATATATTACTTCGATTGGCAATTATACTTGGTTAAACATGCCTTGATGACTTTCCAATTTTCGTAAGCACCAGGGGACCAGGGATTCGGGCTGAAGAGACGACGTGGGATTCCTTTCGGGACATCTCCGGCAGGTATATAGGACACTGCTGTCCAAATGAGTGACATGAGTGACACACCATAGTCTGCTATAAAGCTTCTTAGCCCACCTGTACAACAGAAGTGATTTTTTCTAAGTTCTTAAAGCAAATGGTGCCCCAAAACATGAAAAAGGAACATAAACTTACCAGTCCCATAGCGCCATGACCTCGCTTTTCGGCTTCTTAATGCGGTGAGAAGAAGGCCAAATGACAGTACCTGAGCAAACATGCCATTAGCAAACCTCCACGAAGGTAAAGTTTGCATCAATCTCGGGTTTTCGTTACGTGGAATGCAGAACTCTTCCACAAGGCCCTGCACATGAAATTTACCATAAGCAAAATCTCACATTCAAAATGAAAAATAATGTTGTACGACTAAATACCAATAATAGTTCTTACTTTCACAGCGTGCTGCATGAACAACATAGCTGTAAGCAGACCGAACAATTCTCCAGAGACACGGGTAAACGTATTGGCACAAGCTCCCAAGATTGGCAGTAAGAACCACAAGCCTGCAGTCCATACACAAACCCTACAAAATCAAAGAAAAAAACCCAGGCAACTATATCAAGTATAGAAGCCACAACATTTTTTTTAAACGGTAAGATTTCATTCAAATACCCAATGTGTCAAGAATTATATTGTTCATCATAATAAAACCAGATCAATACCCAATGAAAATAAGGAGTGAGCCACAACAAAATACAATATAAAGGAACATATTGGGTTAAGGAAACCCACCATCCAGTTGTCCCGACCGAATTCCGGTGTCTTTAACAAAGTCAAACATGAATAGCAACTCCTAATATCAGCAAAGGTTGACCTCCGATTGTCGAGTGTATGATCGCACAAAACGCCGTGGATGCTAAGGTTTGAACTGCTGTTAGAACTCCATCTGAAGATTATTTACAAGGTGGATGTTCATAAGATACGCTATCTATTACTTATGTATATCAGTGTTTCTCTCAAGTTGTTCACAAATTTTCACTATATGTGAATTTAAATTGTCGAATATACTATTTATGCTTTAGATTTGTATTTATATTAAAGCTGTGTTATTATGATATTATCGGACAAATGTGTTCCTAAAACCAATTAATTTAAAAATCTCCATCCCCGCGATGGAAACAGATCTCCCATTTTCCAAACAGACAGCGATTCTACAACGCGTCCAAATCAAGCGTCGTCATAACGGCGTCACAAAGGAACTAGGTCGAAGCTAACTAACGGCCGGAACTTTTTGAAAATTCAAAATGGGAAGACGGTGTTCCGTCAAACTAAGATCCTTTCTGTTGGATCTATAAATAGTAAAAGTCGATGATTCGGAGAGCAGATATTCGCTCGCACTTCTCTCCTTCGTTCGACTCCGCGTAACAACCGCTGACATTTTCTCTCAGGCAAAGTTTCTATCTCTTTTTTTTCTCAGATTCAACAAATATATTTTCATCCAATCTCACTTTGTTTGTCTCTCCATATCTGCATCTCTCTCTCTTTTAAGATTTGACTTCAATTTTGTTTCGAAATTGTGTCAAATCTTTTGTTTTTTTTAGCGTTGTGTTAATCTGCTTTAATTCTTTGAATCAGTCGTGAGTTCCGTTGGTTTGCTCAGATTTGTATTTCTTGAATTGATTTTTTGTCATTATGTAGTGGATTTAGCTTTTTATGTGTTGATCTGGTGAAATCTGGCTTTATTGGTTTCTGGTCGTTTTGTTCTGAATGTTGGCCGTTGGATCTTGATATAGAATTATACAATTGTTTTGATATTTCAAATTGAATAATGATTTTGCAGACGTGAAGAATGGGGCTGTCTTTCGCAAAGCTATTTAGCCGGCTTTTTGCCAAGAAGGAGATGCGTATATTGATGGTTGGGCTTGATGCTGCCGGTAAAACCACCATTCTTTACAAGCTCAAATTGGGAGAGATTGTCACCACTATTCCCACCATTGGTAAGTCCCTCTTTTATTTTGTCTCGTGAATAACATTATCTATCCAGTTGAATTTTGTTTCAAATTGGTAGTATTATAATCTTGTAGGTTTCAATGTTGAAACCGTGGAATACAAGAACATCAGCTTTACTGTCTGGGATGTCGGTGGCCAGGACAAGGTAACTAGTTTTAGTTTTTTATTCAAATATATACCATGAACTGTAAATATTGCATGATAGGATAAATCGGGATTTCTTTCAAAATGTTTTCTTTTTTACTTTCATACCGTAGCTTGTAAAAAGGGAATGATTATGGATGGGATTTTGCGGTCTCAAATATTCTATGAGCAATTAAGTATCGTATTAGTCCGAGAAAGGAGAAAGCTCATGCTAGATAGATATCTGTCAAGTATATGCACGGCTTGATGGTTAGCTGTTAAAATTGGAGCGTACGTTTCAAGTTCATCTTAGATCTGTCAGATTAATAAACAAAATGTTTATGTTTTTCCGTTTATCTCAATTATACACCTTGCTTTTTTGCTTTGATTTCTTCGAAGATTCGACCACTGTGGAGGCATTATTTCCAAAATACACAAGGGCTTATTTTTGTGGTTGATAGCAATGATCGCGATCGTGTGGTTGAAGCTAGGGATGAGTTGCACAGGATGTTGAACGAGGTAATCAAGCATAAATTTTCATAGTACTGGAATAATCATAGTCCCCGTAAACATGTGGTTGCGAAGATGCATCACTCTGGATGGCGTTTTCAGATTGTGCTAAAACCTAACATATTGTATGCGCATTGACAGGATGAGTTGAGGGATGCTGTGCTGCTAGTATTTGCTAACAAGCAAGACCTTCCAAATGCTATGAATGCTGCCGAGATCACCGACAAGCTTGGGCTTCATTCTCTCCGCCAGCGCCACTGGTAAGACCATCTACCTTGCTGTCTTTATCCGATCCTCTCTGTTTGTTGATTTTTATGTCACCTTCTATATGATGAATATTTTGCAGGTATATACAGAGCACATGCGCCACTTCCGGTGAAGGACTTTACGAGGGACTCGACTGGCTCTCGAACAATATCGCAAGCAAGGTAAGCTTTTGCAAATCATGCCTGATTATAGTTAAACCCAAACTTGCAGATAATACCTTCCGTTTATTTGTGCTGATAAAATGTACATATAATTGCAGGCATAAATGGCACAATTGAAATGACAGTCGCACCAATTCTGGCCTTTTGTTGTGGATATCTACCTCGTTCAAGTGTTGTGGCTTAAGAACAATTCGATTAAATTTCAATTTCCCTGCAAACATTGTCATTTGTCACATGTAGTTTAAGAACGATTTGATTAAATTTCAATTTCCCTTGTCGTATACCTCCATAGCTGCAAAAGTAAAACAATGTTTTCTCCAGGTTTTGGACCGTTATTTCTTTCTGAAATTATGTATTGAAAAATAAATTCGATCATAATTGAATATCTGAGTAATCTGATGAATGGTATCGCAGTCGTTATTGAAGGAGAAAAACAAGAGAGATTTTTGTCATTCCAATAACATTTTTACAAACAAAAAAGCGATATGAATTTGGTTTAATTCATTGGGGAAAAATTAGTCTAATGATTAAATTAAGGCGTTTTTCATTTTTGACATCTTAATTGGATTCACTACGACTCAACCTATATTTTGGTGTTTGCGTATGGTCAGTTTTTTGGATCCTTATTACATTTTTTTATAATTAATGTTCTCATTTTAAAAAAATTAAAGTCTATTTAATATTATCTTTAAAAAATACTTTTGGCTCCAAATATATTTTAAGAGTTTATTTGTTATAATTAATGTTCTTATTTAAGAAACATTTATAATCTGATTTTAGAATTGAAACTATAATTTTTAAACTTTATTTGTTATTCTCTTTAAGTTTAATTTATTTACGAAACATGTATAATCACTATAAAATTATTTTTTAATAAAAATGTTTTTGATATTTTTTATTATATATTGATATGCTTAATATATTATAATATTAAAAATTTAAATATCATTCAAATATATATTTTAACTTATAGTATCATGTTTAAAAAAATTACGCATGAACCACGCGACTTTAGTGATTAAGAGATTATTTTTATTCCTTGAAGTATCGGATTTCAACACCACATATATAGACATAATTTTTCTCTCCTATTTTTCTCTCATTGATAAGCCGTCCATCTCTTTTTCTTTTTGTCTTTGTTGATCGGCAGTGACACCAACTTTAATGTTGGTTGCCAACCGCATGTATTCTTTATTTTCTTTTTATTTTCTCTTGTTTTTTATTTTCAATAAGTCTGTCTGTATGACACGTTTTACTTTGCCTTTATGACACGTTTTCTTCTGCCTTTTGACACGTTTTTTGATTGTTTGATTGTTGTTTTTACTTTATATTTTTTCTAAGAGTTGATTAAACATCGTCACGACTTATCAAGATGACACTTACCTGTTATATTATTGATCTTCCATGCTCTAGACCCTCAGATTGAATTTAGATACCCGTTATGCGTGTGTGGATATCTTTTCATGTTGTTCGAGTCTGATTTGCGGTTTGTTGGTGGTCTTTCAGTAGCTTGATCCCTTTTGTGGTTTATTTACTGATGCGATTAGATTTATTTGTATATATATTTGTTCGAGTTTTCTTGGCTAGGTTTAATTTTTCCTTGTATGATTTTTATGTGATCTTAAGTGGCTAATTTTGTTTCAATGATTATAGGAAATTGTCCTAATTATGTGCTTAATTTACAATTATGATTGTAAATTTTTATTATAATTTAAGATATTTCCTATTTAAATAAAATTAATGATTTCTTTATAAAAAACATACAGGAGTAGTGGGGTAAAGACTAATAAAAAAATCTTTTAAAAAATACATTTTAACAATAATACTAGTAATTTAATATTAAATAAAATTTTCGAAAAATACATTCTCACAAAATTCTTTCATCTCATGACATTTATAGAAACAAGACTAAACTAACCCTAAATTTAATTCTCGATCTGCATATTATCTCGTACACGTTACAACATTTTGGATAACATGATTTTTAACTTGAAACACACACAAAAAACGAAGAAGTATTTCATGAATCTTTCTTATTATGTTGTTTATAGTTTGAGCTAGTAAAATTCATCATTTCACTTTTTTTTCATATCATTAATTTACTTATAATTAACTTTAAGTAATTATTCATTTTTATATTTACGTTAAAAAAATGAAGATTCATAAAATATAAAATAAATAATTAACTGAGAACATATTTACATAAAAAATGAAAAATCGTAAAATGTAAAAGAATAATTACCTAAGAAATTAAAGCTTTGTTCCTAAACAACACTTAATTTTCGAACAAAAGCAACGATCTGAAGAATCACAAACCAAGAATCATTCTTAAATTCAAAAGCACATGTTACACTTGTTTTTTATTTACGCAATTAGACAATATTCATGAAGATGTTTTGAATAAGCACACACTTTGTTCTAGAAACATAAAAAAGGAGGAAAACCCAATTCTATCCTATATACGTACAATGTTCCCTTAATTGTACCAGTGTCTCAGTTAAAATTTAAATTGCAAAAAATATTTTTATTAAATTATATTAATATTTTATTAGAAAAAGTTAGAACAATCTTCATATTTTCCTTAGTTATTATAAACTTTTCTCATGTTTTATTTACTTTTAATTAAAAAATTCACCAAGAAAATGTAAATAGTATATAAATTAATATTTTGAATCAAATGACAGAGATAAATTTTAAAAGCTTATTTAAAATCCTAAATAATATTAAGACAATATAATCATTCTCAATCAATTTATAAATCCTTCAATCAATTTTTTTTAAAAATATTTTATAAATCATTCTCAATCAATCGTCCATATACCCGGAAAAAAATCATACATGACCCTTAGATCAAAATCATTTATTTCATCATTTTTTCTATATCATTTGTACAATAAGATGGTTAATATAAAGAAGATTAATGAGATAAATTTTCAGTTTTTGATAAATGGTATCTATTCTAATGGATATAGAACATGAGATGATGTTTATTTTGATATTCTATTCAGCCCCACTTCAATTTGTGAGTGCATTAGCGAATGATAGATGTCGGCCAAAATAATAATTACGGCGGTTTCCTTAATTATTTTCATAGGAGTCGCAATTGGTATCGCTGCTGTAGTTCAATATAGGGAAAGCAAGGGTGTTGATGAATTGTCGCCGTCGATGAAGGTCGTTTCTAATTTCTGTTCTCATGCTAATTACCAAGATTCTTGCCAAAAGACCCTCGGTCAGCGCCGATCCCAAAGATTTTGTTTGTCAGTCTATCTTAGCCGCCGAGGAAGCGGTCGTGAAGTTCTTCAGTTATTCCGATTCATTGATCGATGCGGTCACGACGATAGCCGGACGAGGATGGCGTTGGACGATTGTAAGGACATGATCCCTTCAGGCATCGTACATCGAGGTCGATGATGCTGAATTGCAGGGCATGGGTGATCGAATATCAGATCTCCGGACCTGGTTGAGCGCTGTCATATCGTACCAACAATCATGCTTGGATGGTTTCGAGGAAGAAGATAACATGAAAGAAGGTATTACCGATGCTAGTGAACTCACACCCAACGCCTTGGCAATCGTAACAAAATTATCCGAAATTTTTTCCAAGTTCGGCATCCAATTGAACCTTCATGCCTTTCAGTCACGTAGGCTTCTTTCGATCGAGAAAGATGTGTATCCCTCATGGTTCTCGGACGTAGACCGGAAGCTATTTGCCAAGATCGATAACAGTAACATCGAACTGAATGCGGTTGTGGCTAAAGATGGCAGTACCGAGTTCAGGACCATCGCCGAAGCGCTCGCAGCTGCTCCAAAACAATCCCAAGTCCGTCATGTGATCTATGTCAAGGCCGGAATCTATGACGAGTACATTACCGTGGACAAAAAAACCACCAAAATCCTTATGTACGGAGATGGCCCAAGACAAACCATAGTCACCGGCGGTAAGAATTTTGTCGATGGCATACAAACCTGGAAAACTGCTACTTTTTGTAAGTTTTTCAAACAACCCGACCAACATTTTCATCATACTTTCCAATGAATTTGTTATAATATATAATAGTTTCATAAATTTTAATGGCGTAGCCGCTATTGGAGACGGATTCGTTGCCAGATCCATGGGGTTCCGGAATAGTGCTGGTCCTGAAAAGCATCAAGCAGTGGCTCTTCACATTCAATCCGATAAACCAGCCTTCTTTAATTGCCTAATCTAGGGATGGACCCGAATCAAGTTCGGGTCGTGTCGGGTTTGAATAATATCGGGTAAAATTCAGAGATTTTTTGGGTTCGGGGCAAGGTTTCCCCGCCCCGATTATATATATAATAATTTTTTATTTTTTATATTAATTTTATATATAATATTTTATATATTTGTTTTATAAAATATTATATATATAATTAATAAAAAAAATAAAAAAATATTATATATATAATCTGGACGAGGCGGGGATACCTTGCCCCGAACCCGAACCTGAAAAAATCTCCGAATTTTACCCTGATACCCGACTCGATATTATTTAAACCCGACCAGATTCGAACTTGATCAGGTTTCGAGTTCAGACACACAATCTTCATACACTTTGTACAATCACACAAATCGTCAGTTCTTTCGCAATTGTATCATCCCCGGGACCATTGACTTCATCTTCGGCGACTCTCCTACCGTTATACAGAACTCGTTGAAAAAATTTATTAGTCTTTTAAAATTAAATTTATTACAACCTTAAATTTAAAACTTGAAGAAATTTGAGGTTGCAACGATTTAATTATACGAAAGTTTGGATATATAAAAATTAAATAAAAAATAACTCAAGATCAAATAAGTCCATATATTAAGTTTAGTTTGTAAAGTGTAGTTACAAACAATTAGAAAAAGATATTTTATTGTCGTACAATATGAGACAATGGTATAATGAGAAAAGAAATGATTAAACCGATGACTAATGAGTTAACTTTTATAGTTTGGACGATGAGTTATATTATATAATTATGGGATGGAATGAGTTCTCTTCTCTTCTTTTCTCTCATTCCCGATAACCTCATGTATACCAAGTACTTAATAATCACCTGATTGCCTTGTAGTTGCATTTGATATAAATTGTAAATATTGTACTTAAATCATTACAATTTTAATATATATATATATATTCTATGATCCAATATGTAAACCTATTAAACTAATGGTTATTAGACTTCACATGTGTCTTTGAGGTAGAATCCCACCATAATAACATAATATAACAAAGGGTATAACATATTTCATGTGTATTGTGAATAATTATATATTTAAATGCTTTAGTTATATGTAATTATGTATTATACGGCAACCGAAAAAATTACTTTTTTCCTTTTTATTTATGAATTTGTTTTTGACTTAAGTTTTATTTTTAGGGTTATAAGGGATTGAAAGAGGCTGCATATTGAGTTGACTATGGAAGAATAGTTGTTGATTCTCGAATGGGGTGACATATTTTTTAGGCTTAAATATACAAAATGTGTTCAATTTATGCTCGTTTTTTCAGTTTATTTCGTTCTAGTTTGATACCTAACGTTTCATTTCGTTACTAAAAATGGATCAAACTATGACGGACCGTTAGTTTTCTCTATTAAGTAAAACGTTTCAAAATCTAGTAATTTTGATTTTTATTAAATATAGAAATATTATCATATTTATAAAAAAAATCCTTATTTCTTTTAAATTACAAAAAGCCTTAAAATCCCTAAAATCCCCAAATCCTAACACTAATCTATCGCCACCACCCTTTTCGACCACGACCACTGCTGCCGGCATAGTCCTTGTCATCATCCTAGTTATAAGTCATCATCCTAGTTATAACTCATCGTAATAGTCGTCAATTGGCCGTTGAAATCGCTTGAGATTGCGATTTTTATCCTATGTTTCGCAGGGTATAAAACGTCAATTCGTCGTTGATCAACTGTTGATCATTCACGAGGTCACCAGGAGGAGGTGAGATTGGTTGGACCTTCGTCGACAGCAAAGGGCGACTATCGTGTGGGTATTGGGGTTGAAATGAAAGTTTTCAATGTTTTTGGGTTATTTCAAAAATTTATGTGTTTTCTTTTTTAAAAAATATATAATTTTTTTTAAAATTTTATATAAAATTTTTAAATTATCAGATTGTGACATGTGTCACTTATCAGAGAAAACTAACGGTCTGTAACGGTTTAACCCATTTTGAGTAACGAAATAAAACGTTAGACACCAAACTAAAACAAAATTAACGTTAAATAGTAAACGTTAAATAGATGTAATTCAATAAACTTATGAGTGAGTTTTGGTGTAGGATTAAATTAAGAAATTAAATCCATGTAATAAATTTAGTTAATAATTAATTTGTGTGTTTAATTAAATAAAAAATGTAAACATCAAGTTAAATTATATTTAAATACTGAATTTTATATATAAATAAACCTAAACCATCAAATGAGAAAACAATGGCCTGTCTCCCACCGAAAGCCAGATCAAAGAACCATGTGATGTGTTTACCGGTATAGACCATTTGTGCCCAACACAATGTCTAAAGTCTAAACTACCGAGTAACGGAGCTCATGAGTCATTCATATTTGGTCAGGAACAGTGGTATGTTGTAGGTGGGAGGGTTGTCACTCCCAATTTTACTACTTTAATTATATTTTAAATTATTGATAATTTTGAAATCATGTGGTTTGTCAGTTTTAAAATTAATAAAACTAAATATTGGGTTTGATTTTTTTATTTAATTTAAAATTCATAAAATTAAATCTCAGCTTTAATTATTTTTTAAGATCTGACTTATTTATATCAATCATGACTTGTGACTGGAAGAGACAAGTGCATGTTGTTCGTCTATGTGACATTTGCCTTACGGTAGCAAAAGCATGGCATCTTCCTGGACACCACTAAACTCCAGTATCTGTACTCTTATTCTTATTTCATAGGTCAGATATTATACTTTAGAGCAGAAGCAGAAATGTATAAATTGGATTACAGCTATGCCCTTCTCTTCCCCACCATTATGGAATAGATAGGATAGGGTTAACCATTTTATACATTCTTTTTAGTGATACAGGAACAGGAGGGTGACTTACCACATGGACATTGCACTTTGCGTATTGTGATATGGCTTTGTCGTCCTACATCAGGCTTCTCCATTTGGTTCTTGTTTTCTGTGCTTATTCTTTAAGAACTGGTACGTCCGGTAATCCAGGCATTGAAACAGAATTCAACAAATGGTTGAGCTGGAATGTCCGAAACCGCAGAAGCCAGCGGCTGCCGGATCAATCCGTTGTCTTGTCGGGTGGCGGTGGAGGGAGGCCGGGTCTTGACGATAAGCTGGTGATTGCGGAGACGAACAAGGTGACGATAAATGTTAGTTCAGATGGAAGTGGCGGTTTCACGACGATTAAAGAAGCACTCAACAGCATCCCTTTACGCAACACCAAGAGAGTCATTCTCGCCATAAAACCAGGCTTTTATAGGTACGCACATACATACATGTATACCATGATATTAGTATTTGTGACGATGTTGAATTTGGCAGGGAAAAGATTTTCATTCCTAGAACATTGCCCTTCATCACATTTCTTGGGGATGCAAATAACCCACCAACTATAACCGGGAACGACACCGCATCAGGTAATGGCACAGATGGGAGGCCTTTGAAGACATTTCAAAGTGCAACAGTGTCTGTGGAAGCAAATTATTTTGTGGCCATCAACATCAAGTTTGAGGTAAACTCATGTTTTCAATTAATCTTATTCATTCGCAGAAGAAAGAAAGAAATAAAAAAAAGGAAAGTTTAGGGCGATTGTGGTTGATGCAGAACACAGTCCCGCATACGATTGGATCGAAAGGGGATCAAGCAGTGGTAGTTCGCATATCAGGGACCAAGGCTGCATTTTACAACTGCAGTTTCTATGGAGATCAAGACACTCTTTACGACCACAAGGGTTTCCACTACTTCAATAATTGCTTTATCCAAGGCTCCGCGGATTTCATTTTTGGTTACGGCATGTCTATTTATGAGGTAAGATAATATTTGTTCATAATTTTCTTAGTCTGTAGCAATATGCACACCTTATATAGATGCAGCGTGTAATAACCCTTTGTTTATGTAAACTTTGGTGTGCAGAACTGCTATTTGAATTCCATAGCGAAGAAAGTGGCTTCTTTCACGGCACAAAAGCGATCCAGTGCGTCATTAGACAGTGGGTTTTCCTTCAAAGATAGTGTGGTAACCGGCAACGCCACTGGCCTGGCTTACCTAGGAAGAGCGTGGGGTGATTATTCAAGGGTCGTCTTCTCCTACACGTACATGGACAAGGTGGTTCGTCCCCAAGGATGGAATGACTGGGGCAAACCAAAACGTGATGGGTGAGTAGAACACTATCAAAACATGCTCAATTAGAACATTCTAAAGTCTGATTTGATTCGAACATATACTACCTTATACTTACTCCGGATTAATTTAATAAATAAAGTCTGGTTTGGTTCGGCTTTTCAAAAAAATGAAGTCTGATTTGGGATCATGTGTTGTGGTGGCAGGAGGGTGTACTATGGAGAAGACAAGTGCAGTGGACCGGGGGCCAACTTCACAGGAAGAGTGCCATGGGCACGACTTCTGACTGATGAAGAAGCCGAACCTTTTATAGGAACATTATACGTTGAAGGAGACGCTTGGCTCATCATTCAAAAAAAAAATGGTTGACCCTTATTCCCATATGTAATGAGATAAGGAGGAGGTAAGATAGTATAGGCTGTTCCCAATATCAGATTGAGAAAAGTTTCTATAGTAAACCTCCGAATTATGAAATGCCTTTTATGGGACTTGATCCCACGATCCTAAGATTAAGAACCTTATGCTATACCAACTGAGCTGAATGATCATTTCACTTGTCTCATCATTCCTTATACCAAATACTGTGTTTTTTTTCCTGCAGGATCGAATGAGGCCCTAAATCACGATGGCCTCTATGTGTTTATACAAAATATTCATTAATATGTGTTGTCTATGCCATTGTTGTAATAATTGTGAATATCATTCAAGTTAAGCTTAATAAAACCAGAAGATTGTACCAATTTTGGCGTATCTCAATATTATGTGTACAAATATGTCTCGACAAACATAATAATCAGACAATTATTTGTTTATACATGGTAAAAGGCAACTACATTAATGTGAGGTTAAAGCCCAATGTCTAATCAAGCCCGATATGGGTTTCAGAATAAGAAGCTTACATTTGATCGTTCAAACAAATAACACGTATCCTAAATTATTTTTTACAAGGTAAATTCGTTAATTTTATTAAAATTGTAATTTAAATATAGAATAAAACATTTTTATGATCGTTTATACAAAAAAACTACCCACCTAAGATCACACTAATTATATAAGAAAAAAGTTAACAAAATCTAATCAAGTAAACACGAATAAAAGGTAGATATAAATAGATTTGACTGTATAAGCAAACAAACCACGAAAAGAGATCAAACTATTGAAAGACTACATATAAACCACATAATAGAATCGAGTAACATGAAAACTATCCACGAACGCAAATCACGTATCCAAATCCAATTTAAGAGTCCAAAGCAGGAAATATTAGCATGATAACAAATAAACACATTCTTGATCAGTTGTGGCGAAATCAAATTCAACCTTGAGAAAAATATAAATAAAAATAACGACAAAATGACTGAAAACATACCAAAAGACAAACATAAGGTAGATTTATTAAAAAAACAATATAATAGAAAAAAATAGAGTACATCAACGATCGGTAATCAACATTAAAATTTAAGTTGTCATCAATTATAAAAATATAAAAATGAAGAGAAAAGATATTAATGACCGTACAAGAAAAAATAGAGTTAAAAACCCTAACTTATAATATTTATCATAATTAAGTAGGCTGTTGAATCGAATAACATAAGTAAAATATTAAATTTAAGTTTTTCTGGATATAATTTTTTGGGTAAACTATCGATCTAATAGTCCACCTATTTTTGTGTTTCTATTTTGCTCATTTAATTATTTTTTTGATAAAATCATATATAATATTACGTTGTTGTTTCTATTTTTATTACGAACATTAAAAATATAACGAACTTCTTGACATAATATTCTTTCATTGTTCACACCATTTTCTCTCTCTGAATCAGAGACAGTGATGAAAGTGAAAGTGAAAGTGAAAGTGAAAGTGAAAGTGAAAGTGAATTATAAGTTTGATGACTAAAATATAAGTACCCAAAAAGTTCAGGGATTATTAATATAGTTTATCCTAAATTTTAAATAAATATCATAACCTTCCTCTCATCTTCGCTAGTATAAGTAGTAGTCAAGCTTATGAGCAATGATTACTCCTCTTCTAAGACTCTCCTACGCTCAAGCCCTTAGACTACTTCATTAAACATTTTAGGTAAAAAGAAAGATAAATGGTTATGCTGTCGTCGGCAGCTTCGATGGGAACCAAAAAAACCAAGGCAGTGGGGGATTCCCGTCGTTGATCTTTCTCTCGATAGGTCGATAGTGTCGGACCTGATGGTCAAAGCCTGTGAAGACTACGGATTCTTTAAGGTCATTAACCATGGCGTCCATAGGGGCACAATAGCCAGACTCGAAGAAGAAGGGATTCATTTTTTCAGAAAACCAGCTGCTGATAAGCAACGTGCGGGGCCTGCGGCACCGTTCGGTTATGGTTTGAAGAACATCGGACTCAATGGCGATAAGGGTGAACTCGAGTATCTTCTTCTCCACACCAACCCTTTATCCATTGCTGAAAGATCCAAAACCATCTCCAATCACCCTCAAATTTTCAGGTACTTGATTCAGAAATCTTCTTGTTTTTCTATATTGTTTACCCTTTTTTGTTCATCCCTTTATATGTCATACATTCGTATAAATGAGATTATTAAATTAAGGATAATTAATTTATTATACGTGATTTTGAATTCATTAAAAGGGGAATTTACTTTGTGCAGGAGATTATTTACAATTAATGCTTTTGTATCCTAGAAAGGGACATCTTCCCTTTTATGATTAAAAAGAGATTATTTTATCAATTCAACATGACATTGCAATGCTTCTTTATAACACCCTTTGGTTCTAACTTTTAAAGGGCCCCTACCCCACCATCCAATCAGTTAGGTTCCCAACATTCTTTTCCACTTTTAATTTTCTTTCGGATTCATGCATGCAAACGAGAATTCGGACTGGTTATCATATGGACTTTTTTTGCATGGAAGGGTTAATGCAGCTTGATTAATTTCTTTCTGTTTTTTTACAGTTGTGCTGCAAATGATTATATAGAATCAGTGAGGGATTTAGCAAGCGGGATTCTGGAGCTGATGGCCGAAGGACTTTGGGTTGAAGACAAGTACGTGTTCAGTAGGCTAATCAGAGACGCCGAGAGCGACTCGGTCTTAAGGTTCAATCATTATCTGTCTTCCGATAAACCATGCCAATACGATCAGATCGGATTCAGAGAGCATTTCGACCCTCAGATCATCACCGTACTACGATCTAACGATGTTGCCGGCCTTGAAATATCTTTGCGTGACGGGTTATGGGTCCCGGTACATTCTTAACCCACGCAATTCTACGTGATAATCGGTGACGCCATGCAGGTTCTAACAAATGGCAGATTTAGAAGCCTGAGACATCGGGCATTGGCGAACTCGTCGTCGAACAATTCAAGAATGTCCATCATGTACTTCGGTGCATCGCCTCTTAATGCAGCGATCGGTCCCCTCCCACAGCTGGTCTCGCTCCAAAACCCTAGCCTCTACAAGCTATTCACTTGGGATGAATACAGAAAAGCTACCTACTCTTTATGCTTGGGGGAATGCCGCCTCGACCTCTTCAAGCTACATCCCGACGATTAAAAATAACGACTTTTAAGAGGTATTATAGTAAAAATAAATGTTATTTAATTATTCTCTTTAGAAAATTTAAATTCAAGTAATTATGTCTATAGAATGTGTTTTATTAATAATTAAGAAAAATTCTGAACATATATTATCATATAATTACTCTAAATTAATTAAAAAAAACAAGAATATATATATGTTTTTATGGTATCTAAAGCCATAATTTATTTCATTAATTAAGTAAACCTAGGAAACTCGCACAATACCAAGATGTTCCATCCATTAATCAATTGATAATCTTACAAATTAAAATTGGTTTTATGTCACGATCATTTGACCAAACTATGTTTTCCTAAAACTTGAGTTGCATTCGGTGCGGTTCGGACATGTGTTGGCATTACCATGTCGTGTAATGTAACACTTATCTTAAAGGCAACCGATGGGGAGGAAAATAGTAATCTTTATTTTCAATCTCACCAACCATGACAAAAACAAACGAGTTTAATTGGTAGTTCCACCGAACAGGGTGTAATACACTTTTTTTTGGTAATTGTGTGTTGGATAACCATTAAATTTAACTGATCCTCGTCATAATTAGGATATGAAGGCGAAGTTTGCCCAACGCTCGTTGACTAAAATTGTACGGCGAGAATTGCATTAACATATTGATACCCAAGTTGCGGTTTGGTTAGGTAGAAAAAGGAATCTATATTTAGCCGTTTTAGATATATATTGTATATGATCAATATGTTGGTTTATTTAAATTTAAATTTATTGTAATAATTGATTTTAATTTTATTTTTTACTATGTTGATTATTTAGGGTAAACTAATTATTTGGTCACCCACCTATTACTTAATTTATAATTTGGTCATTCAACTAGTTTTTTTAATACGTAACCTTACGTTCTGATTATGTTTTGATTACCTACCATTAAAAAATTAACAATGAAGATAACACAATATTTTTTAATTATTTTTCAATCCTGACATGGCTTTATCTTATGATATCACATCAAAATCACCGCTAATTTTTTAAAGACAAGTGATCAAAACAAAACCAAAACGTGACATTAAGTGTAATCTAAAATAAATAATAGTTAGATGACCTAAATAGTAACTAAATAATAAATGGATGACTAAATAAATAGTTTACGCTTTTTGGGTATAAGGTGTGTCACTACGCCCTTGAATGTCATGGTAAAATTATATTTTAATTATCTAAAATAAATATAATTCACCTATGACCCTCTAATAAAAATTTTGGCTTCACCTCATGACGAGTAATATATAATTAATATAATTGTGATTATTTTTGAAAACCCTATACATGCAATTAAATTTATTTATTTTATTTTTAAATATTGGTCGGTTCTTTGCATAAACGGTTGATTATTGGAATAAAATATTTGAAATCTTAATTGAGTCTTGACAAAGATGAAGAATAACCCCCAAAAGAGGGATACACTATCATATGCAGCATGTGCATTAAACTAATTTGTTGTTTAACGTTAATTATTTTGGACTACAATGCAATCAACTTTTGAAATTGATCTAGTATATCAAAATGCAAAATAATAAATATATCGATTTTTTAAATACATACATACATATATATATATTATGAGATTATTGGGTTTTATTCTGGCATAAAAATAATATTTGTCCGTAATGTTTATAAATTTATTTCATTTTATAATCGTTTGTTTTAAAATTGAATTTATTATCTAACTTCAAAAAAATTGAATTAGCTATTTAAATTTAAATATCGATAATTATCAATGTAAACAAAGGAGAAAAAAATATACAAATGTACATTAAATTAAGGATACAAACATTAAGAATGATCTCAATAATAAAAGAG